ACCCACTGCAGAAATATCTTCTTCAAGTTCCAGAGCCGTTAGACTGAATGAGTTATGGATTGAGTTTCATTTCAATTTCAGTGGAGTCTAGTAAAGTTTGTGAGTAAAGACCCAGTGCTGATGGTGTCCCTGAGAGCAACGCTGCTGTCAGTCACATTCTGTAATGCTGCCCTTAAAAGCTCCTCCTCAATTGCCACATCTGGTTGGGTGAGGGGGAATCACCCAAAACTTAACATGGACTCCTTCAAACCCCTACAGAACTCATTTATGAAATGGAGCATTTCTTACTTAAACAAGTAAACAATTCTTCCTAGATGTCTGACTAATGCTTATAGAGAAATAGGAAAGGTCTTACTTCATAGTGACTAAAAGAGAAACTTTGTTTTAAAGCAAGGGAACTTCATAGACTGTAGGAAATAATTACCACTGTGCAAATACTTGTCTCCAGGAAAGCAGTTTAGATACTTATGATTCCAAAGGTGGATAGCCAATTAATTCTCTAGGAAGCCCCTTCTTGTATAGAGAGGCACATATACTGTAGTAAATACATCCCTCTCTCTATGGAATATCTCTACACTTATATATAAAAATATACATTTTTACATATAAAGTACTGGTACACATCATATATATATCACAACACAGGAATATATATGTAACCTATGTGTTTCCTTCTGGGGAGGAATTCAAGCTCCATAGCAGAGGAGAGCAATTATAATTTATCAAAGGCAAGCATGATAATGACCCCGAATGGACAAGGCATCTAGAGCTAGAGTGGTAATTACTCCAATCTAATCAGTGTCCTTCAAAGTCCTGAGAAAGGCCTTCAAGAGAAACACACTGTTGTCAAGGTCTTATTTTCAAATGTAAAAATAAGACAGCATCAGAAGCTGGCCAGAGGCTGAGGGTGGGTGGATGTGTGGAGAGTGGAATCCAGGTACTCTCTGGCTCCAGGTTACTCTGCAGACCATGTTGGGCATGAGCGAATTGGGGCATGATGTCACTGCTCCATGCAACATGTATACCAAAAGTAAAATGAAATTGAAACTGTACAGAAAATGAAAGAAGTATCTCATCTAGAGAAAGACAGGGCAACTAGACTCCGGGCTGGTGGGAACCCGTTTTACTCACAATAGATCACTACCAGTGTGCAGTTTAAATAGAGTAGGGGGCCGTATCCCAAGGCAGCAAAGAGAAAAAACATAAATCAAAGATATGTCAATGATCAGAAATTTAAAAAAATTCCTTCAAACACATCAATCTAGATAGGACTTGTCCCCTAGGAGACTACCCTTTGGCAAACTTTCAGAGGCTAGGAGGGAAAATATAAATCATTAGACCAGGTTTGTTACACACACAMAAAAAAGAAAATGGGTAAATGGTTGAGTCTGAGAGCTTGCTCCTTGGACAGGTAGCTGGATTGGACTCATGTTCTGGATGAAGAGCTATGAAGAAATGGAAAGAAATGCAAAAGTTAAACTGGACCACCACCACAGACTTTCCAGAAATGGAATGTCCAAACTCCATATATTTCTGGGTAATATGACACGAAACATTGAAGGTTACTGAATGAAAGGGAATGGGAAGGAAAGGGCAGAGCTGGAAGGGGAAGAGTTGGGTTGGGGGAGGAGGGATTGAAGCTGTGGACAAAGGAAGTGGAAGGAGGGTTAGGAAGCTAGCAACTATCATTAGCTCTGCCCTCATGGACACATACTATTTTGGGGTGAATTATTAACATTTGGACTAACAGATTTGGACAAGTGACTTGGTGGGTCAAATGCCCTCTCCAACTTAGGGTACCAGGCAATGCCTACCCCAAAATATGGGATTCCCCCAGTGTGTTACCAATGTCCCTAGCTCTTTCTAATGAAAACTTCTTTGCAACCAAAACATATTTTCTCCAGTCTTCTCACTTTTCTGACTTAACATGGAAAGGTTGCTACTCAATAATTTCATTTTATTCTAACCCTCCTCCCATACACACACATTGACATCCTGCCCTCTAGGCTATGGCCTTTTAATTAGGAAGAACAGCATTTGGACAACTCTGATTGTTATATCAAATATTAACCTCATAGCCGAGGGCCTTGTCACACTGGCTTGGCTTGGTCAAGGCAGACTTTATACAGCAATGTGTGCCCTTGCATGATGGGAGATCATACGTTTTATTAGTTCAACCAACTTTTTTAAGAGAATAAAGTTCTTTTAAACAATGACATACCTCTCCCCCAGGATGAAGCTAAAGTTCAGTGCTATTTGCTTGCCTGGAATCAAGATGGAGAAAATATCCTGGAGGTCAAATCCTTATTTGCAAGGATTTTTAAAATGGTCTGCTGTGATCCACTAGTGTCCTAGGAGGGACATTTAGTTTTGCAACAAGAAATCAATGAAGCTCTCTCTATATATATCCTTCTACTTCTTCCCTTCCTGACCAAGACACCAAAGAGATCTTTTCAACTGAGAAGTGATGATGTGGTTTTCTTGCTTGAGCTCTTCCAACAGCTTCCTGGTATAGAACTAAGACCCAGCTTCTTACCACCACCTGACCTTCCTCTCTAATCTTGGGTAAGTACCACTCTTTCCCCAGTGCCATCAACCCCACCAGCTGCTCTGTCATCCCTCCTCACTCTTCTCCCTACTTGGCCTTGGGGCTCAGCTTCAATGTAACCTCCCAGTGGAGTCCTTTCTGACCTTCCAAGCTGGGAAACAGTAGCATTTCAACTAGGCACCTCATATTCTCAGACAGGCTTGCCTCTCTTCTCTGTACTTGGTTTTGAGCTTATTTAACTATTGGTGTGATGATGGTTTGTGTCCTGTCGCTAGCAGGAATGTCCCAGGAGGGCGAGATGACATACATATCCTTCTCCACTCAATTCTTGGCACCAAGAATGGCACCTTGCCCCAAAAGGGCACTCAAAAATATGTGAAAGCTCACTCAACAGTACGCTGTGTGTAGTCTTGCCATTTCATTGATACCCCTGTGGGACAAGGGTCTCTGGAAAACAAATAACCTTTCATGGAATGTTATCCTCAGTACTCTTCTACCTTTTCCAAACCCCTCACTGAAGAGCTTCCTTACAAAAGAGTTTGCCATCTTGTATTTATTATTCTCTGTTTACCTCTACCCTCAGGATGTCCTGTACCTTCTGATGGAAACAACCCACGTGATGCCTGGCCAAATGAGCTTCTGTATTCACAATTAGCCAAGCAGGGCTAGGTTGACTGCCTCATGGGAAGGGTGTCTGGAGTCATGGAGCCTGGGTGAGATTAGACGTGGAGTGAACTTGCTTCTGAGCCTCTCAGATGCTCTCTCTGGGAGAGTGTCAGAATGGGAGAAATTCATAGGTTCCAAGAAGTCAGAGGCTCTTGCTATAAGATATCAATAAATACACATCTTGGTTAGGTGACAGTGTTAGGAGGAGGGGTGCTGAATATATTAAATCAGTGGAGAAGGGAGCAAGATGGTAGGACTTAGCTAGTTTGGGAGCCAGTCTGAAAGGATTTCCACAGAAAGTTCTCCAGACCAAGAGCTGCCCTATGGGTACTGGCCCAAGGGATTGATTAACTTATTTGGGCTCCAGTGGAACTATATTTTTATCTTTCTGGTTGTGCAGGTGCTCCTTCAAGAGCACAGGGGGGAAAGGCCCTGTTTCAGTTGGGATAATCCAGGGGTTGTACTCTGCTGTCTGGTGTGCATGTGAAAAAGTATTTTATAGTGTGATCTTTTATGGCTGTGTTTGTATTCATCAAACCCGAGGTCACCTATCTGGCCCTTCCATCCTGCAATAAAGATTAAGGCACTCAGAGAACAGCATCAAGAAAGGCCTCTGGGGACCTGAATCCCTGCACACTGGCTGTATGACTGCCAGCAATCTCATCCTCTCACTAAACTTGGAAGCCTTGATGCCTCTTTCTGTAAAATGGGATTAATAACACCCCCTGCCAATTACACAGGGTTATAGTGAGGATCAAAGCTGCTATCACAAGGACTTCTTCAAACACTGAAGGAAAGGGAGGCATCATTATTTTTCTTTCTCCAGGGTTGAGAGCAATTTCTACTAAACAATGCATCATTGATGCTGCAAAAGGCATGGCCTTCACAAGGTCAAAACTGTAACTCCTGGTCTCTGGGAAGCTCCAAGCCAGTGTCTCTGATTCACCACTGAGGCCCCAGCTGCTCTAGAAGAGGCATGTTACAGGCTAGGCCAGAAGCTACTCAGCCCAGTGCATCTACCCCACGGATGGCCTTTGGGACAATGGTGATCAAGGTCCTCGGTTAGAGCCATGTTCTTTTCTTAGAGTGGTCTGAGGGAGTCACAATGAAAAACTCTGACCTTTGGTACTAAAGCCCACAGGAATTCCAAAAAAAGAAAGTCAATTCCCATTTCGGAAACTGAGCTCTCAGATTCAGTTTCCCTCTCAGCCCTAGCACAGCCATCTTTACGTAGTGGTTTCCTGTCCACTGGAAATCACTACACAAAAACACTCCATCTAGTACAGTCTTAGTGTCCTACTTCCTTTCTTTTCCTTTCTTTCTTTTTTGGGGGTCCTGGGGATTGAACTATACACACTTATCTCTTCTTCATTATTTTAATTTTGAGACAGGGCCTTGCTAAATTGCTCAGTCTGGCCTTGAACTTGAGATCCTCCTGCCTCAGCCTCCTGAGTAGCTGGGATTACAGGCATGCACTACAGCAGCTGGCTGGGTGTCCTACTTYTTCACATCATACTTGACACTATTAGACTGGACATATCCTCTGGAGTCAAGAAATGGAGACTGGGTACCAAGTTCACCCCTAGGTATTTTTGGTGGTGATTTTTCGTCCTCTAACAAAGCAAGGATGGCTATTTCATCTTTCTTTGAAATTGTGGTGTGAAACATAAACATATTCAAGAGAACTCTTGATGTTTAATGTTTCTCTCATAGGGAAAGGGGAAGGAAAATGAATGTGGAGGACTAGGAAGGAGGGGGCAGGGAGGGGGAAAGAAACACTACTTACGCCGTTTGCAGCCGCATTTTTTAATTCTTTTGGGATCTGTGATGTCATCATGACAGGCCTTGCAGTAAAAAAATGCCCTGGAGAAAGAGAATGGAAAAACTGACACATTTCATAATCCAACCAAATGAAATGAGTACCACATTTCCTCCGCGGTGGTGCCAAATTAATGAAACATGCCAGCACTAATTTCCTTTAATCTTTTGAAAAGTTTAGACATTTGCAGACGGAAATGTTTGTTGCAAGACCATTTATTTCAAACACGGGATTCTGTGATTTGAGTTAGTGCTTCTTTTCATAAACCTGCATTTGCAGAGGAACTGGGAGAAGGGTTGCTGATGAGACACACCGTGTCTGCTTGCTTGTCTTTCATTTTGGAGAACAGCACTCGATGCTCTTTGTCAGGACACGTGAACCATCAGCCCTGAATCCTGGGTGGGGAAGCTACACAACTCCCAAGCCCCACAGTCTACTCAAATGTACATTAAAGGGGACAAGCAGGGTGCTCCACTGTCAAATGCAAACATTAGCCTTGTCACTTTGAAAGCACCTTTTCTTGTTAGCCTGAGTGAGAGAGGGTTGAGAGGAGGTAGGAGAAGAAACAACAAAGGCAAGAAGTCTAGCAGTTTCTCTGTCAAACTCCCTCTGGGATTTCATAGCTCATTTCATTGCATGGCTGGCGGGACCCACCCCTGCTATATACAGCCCTGAGAACATGTAATAAGTGAAGGTTTTCTTCTCACTATGGAGCAAAGCTCAGCTGACCACAGCTGAGCAAAGGAATGAGGTGGGTAGAAGGAACCCTAGAAGAAGCCATCAAAAGAAAATCCCCTAATCAGATTTGGGTGTCAATATGGGATTACAAAGTGCATTGGCTTGTGTCAAAGATACTTTGGGGGCTGGGGCTGTGGCCCAGTGGTAGAGTGCTCACCTAGCATGTGTGAGACATTGGATTCAAACCTCAGCACCACATAAAACTAAAATAAAGATATTGTGTCCACCTACAACTAAAAAATAAATATTAAAAAAAGATACTTTGGTAGAAATAAGACCATTACAGCACAGTTTAAGATCACAGGGTTAGAAGAACAGTGTGGGTGGAGAGTATGGATGGTCCCCAGTTTAGGATGAGCAAAAGTGAACCCATACAACCTGCTGTCCACTTAGTACACAAGATACTAACCTTTTTAAAAATATATAAAATAGGCTTTGTTGTTCGATGGTTTTGTACAGCCGAGGTCCAATGTAAATGTTTTGAGCACAGTAGACTAAGTTAAGCTACAGCAGGTGTGTCAAATGCATTTTTGACCGTGATATTTTCAATTTATGATGGTTTACTGGGATTTAGTCCATCATAAGTAGAGAAGCATCCAAACTGGGGAGGTGATAAAATTCACTGGAACAACCTTACAACCTTATGGATCCAAGAACTAATAAAATCTCTGGCTTAGCACCTTTACCACTCCCAACATGAACTTGAATTCCAGGGATAAACATGGTCTTTTCCTGACTGGGCTAAAGAAATAAACACAATTCTTGACTGTTTGATTCCGAGATTCCTTTATTTTTTTTTTTTTTTATGTTTTTCACAGGACTTGCATTTACGACTGGCACTGGCTAGAAACCAATGTTAAGACTTTTGGAACTGGAAGGGATTGTGGGGATTTGAGCCAAATCTCTAGGACTCAATGTCCCCATCTGAAAAATAAGGAGGTTGTCATGACCTGCCCAAAGTCATCTGATGGTGGAGCTTGGCTGGCCCCGGGACTTCTGCATCCAAGTCCAACGCCCCTTCTACACAAGAAGCTCTTCCACTATTTCTTTAAATGCCAGCTGTCATCCACTTTACATGAAAAGGAAAGTTAGCTGGCTATTTGTCCTGCACAGCACTGTGGTTAATAACCCAGTGGACAGGGATCTGCCTTAAACAGGAAGGACAGGAAACAATCCATGTTGGGACAAGTAATTTGCATCCACTTTCTTTAGACATTTTCTCCCCCATCCCCCTACTGGATTCTCCTACAGGCAATAGTAATAATGATACTTATAAAATGCACTTATAAAATGTAGACTATAGGCCAGGGGTTGTTTGAACATTTTATAATCAATAACATATTTGATCCTCAAACAACCCTTTGAAAGAGGTATGATTATTACTTTTCTTTTACAGATAAGGAAACTGAAGCCCAGAGATACTAAGTGACTTACCCAAGGCCACACAGCTAAGAGGAGGAGAGAGCCAGGATTCATATCTATGCAGTTTGGCACCAGAGTCCAAGGTTTTAAACACACTACTAAAGGGGTTATATGATAATGTGTCTGAATAAATTAAAGCTGGATTCTTCTTCTAAACTTAATGTTTACTCCTAATTTACAAATAAAAATGTATATATTTGCGATGGTCAACATGATGTTTTGAAATATATATGTGCTGTGGAATACCTAAGSGAATTATATGTTTTAAACTTATGTTAATGTTATGTTTTGATATATGGTGTCCTCCAAAGCTCATATGTGAGACAATGCAAGAATTTTCAGAGGTGAAATGATTAGGTCCACTGTGACATATCAGTGGATTAAGCCACTGAATGGATTAATTTGGTGATAACTGAAAGCAGAAAGGGTGTGGCTGGAAGTAGGTCACTCAGGGGATGACTTTGGGGCTTACATTTTGTCGCTGGTATGTGGAGCTCGCTCTCTCTCTTTCTCTGCGTGCTGGTTGCCATGTCCTGAGCTGTTTTCTCCACAAAGTCCTCCTGCCCACGATGCTCCACCTCACCTCATACCCAGGTCTATGGAGTCAGAGAACCACAGAAACCCTGAAACTTGGAGCCAAAATAACTTTTCCTTCACTGTATTGTTCTTGTCAGGTCTTTTGGCCACAATGATGTAAAACTGATTTAAACAACATACTTGGCTATTTTTTTTTTCTTTAGTACTAGGGATTAACTCAGAGTCACTTTACCACTAAGCTATATCTCTAGCCATTCTTTTTTTTTTTTAAATGTTTTTTTAGTTGTTGATGAACTTTTATTTTACTAATTTATTTATATGCGGTGCTGAGAATCAAACCCAGTGCCTCACACATGCTAGGCAAGGCTCTGCCACTGAGCCACCATGCCAACCCTCTCCAGCCATAAGTCTTACTAATTTGCTGAGGCTGTCATTGAACTTGGTGATCCTCTTGCATCAGCCTCCTGAGTAGCTGGGATTTACAGGCCTACATAACTTTTTTTTTTTTTTTTTTTTTTTTTAGTAGTGGGAACACTTGAAATCTACTCTCATAGTGATTTTCAAGTGTTAAACACATTGATATTAACAAAAATCAACTTGATGGACAATAGACCGCTTGAACTTATTCTTCCTAGATAACTGAAGTATTGTGTCCCTTGACCAACAACTCCCCAGCCCCCATCTATCTCCTACCCTAGCCCCTGGTGACACAAGACTGGCCTATGCTCTGCCTCTGTGGGCTGACTMTTTTAGATTCCACATGTGAGCAAGGTCATATAGTTTTTCTTTCTGTACCAGGGTTCCTTCACACACCATAATATCTTCCAGGTGAGACAAATAAAGTTAATGAGTGAAATGAAACTAGGATTGGGTGACCACGGTGACCTCAAGACACATCCCCAACTGGAAGGGCAGCATGCACCTCTCCACTGTCTCTCCCTCTGTGGGGCACACCTGGCCATACCCCTTCCTTACTTTACACCTGAACCTGACTGAGCAGCTAAGTGTTGCTGGGGATGAAAACCCACTGGTCTCACTTTAAATCCATGTCCATGTATTCCAGGGGCCTCTTCACACTACTGGGGAACCACTCCATTCTCCTTTCTTACCCTATAAAACAGCTCTCCTTGCCCTCCCCTACACTTCCTCTCTGGCTCACTGCACCCCTTCCTCCAGTAGCCTCACACGTTGTCAAGAAGCCCACTCTGTCTGTGCCCCTGGCCTTTAGGACCTTCTGGTCCTCTGGTTTCCTGTTGTGTTTGGTCAATAACAGGAACCTGAAGGAGACTGGAGGGTGGGAGGAGATGAGTTCCCTCCCTGCCAGGTCATGGAATAGTAATTGCAACACACCCTAATGAAGGGTGAAGCTCCCCCTGGGCAGCCACTCCCACACCACAAACTCTCTCCAGCTTTGGAAAGTCCTTCCCCTTGTCCCTGCAGTACTAGGGTTTAAAGTGGTTCCCACTTATAGAAGTTTCTGAGATGCTTTGCCACCTATTATTGGTTTTTCTTAACCTGCTGCCCACTTCTTCATACAATCCCTTTATCAGATTCTCCTCCTGTTTCCTGCGCAAGAGTGTCATCTATTTCTGGCAGGGATCCTCACTGACATAGCACCCCTGTTTACATCTCCAGACCTTCCCTCTTCCCAGAACTCTACACATTGGATGCACTGACTTTATGATAACTCCATGTGTATGTTTAGTGCATGTCTCCTACTGATTGTGTCAGCATGTATTTGTGAAGACCATAAAGCRCAGAAATGAGACATATTGCACTCCCTGATAGAATTCTTCATTTCTTACCACCCCAGACTCCTCCAGTTCTTTCCATCTAAGTAAGATGGAGTTGTCAACCACTCAGTGCTTATGACCCAAATCTAGGCCTTAGTCTAGATCCTTATGTTTGATTCCTTACTTCCTCCATCAAATTCATCAATGGATCTTGCAGATCATCTGAATATGGTCCTAATGGTCCTGTGGTCCTAATTTCTCACCTATACTATGCAATGGTCTAAGTCTCTCACTTCCATTACCTCATTCACTGCCATGACATCCCATCCTCTGCAGTGCAGGCAGGATGACAGTATCATAATTTAAAGAAGACCATATCACCTGCAGCTTAAAATCAGCAATGAACCCAACCTCTTGGAAAAGTATGAGAGAAGCCTCTGCCTTTCTCAACTCGTCTCAGACCACTCTCCCTGCATCTCCTCCCCCAGCCATACTTCTTGTGTTCTCTGAACACAAGGATGCTCTTACCACCATATCTCTTCTTCCTGCCTCGCCTCTACATGAGGGACTCTCTCTCCTCATTTTTATCTCTGCTCAGATGCCACCCTTCAGAGCAGCCTTCACCTACACCCAACAGAAATCAGCAATGAAACTGTGTTTGCTCATTCACCACAAATTTTAAAAGCCTGTACTTTTCTCCTCCCAGGAATGTGAGCTTCGTGAGAGTGGGGACTCCTCTCCATTGCTCATGACTATCCCCCTGGACAACCGTGCAGAGCCTCCTAAGCATTATGAGTGAATGAGTTTGATGAGTGAATGAATGAATATGAGACCTCCCATGATTGCCAAGTTTTCAGGAGAAATCAGTAAAAGGAATTTTCACATAAAAGCAGACGAGTTTTTTTCACCTTGGCAACTGATTTATGTTTTAAAATTGTGACTCAAACAAAAATCATATCTGCAAGCCAAATGGGGTCAGTGAGCCATGAGACCATGTTCCAAGGTTATTTAAAAGGAAAAATATTTAGGGACAAGGAGTAAAGGACAAGTTTCCCAAACACCCATCCCAAAGTGACCTTTGGAAGACTGGAACTGGATGGCTTCACTCCTCTTTTCTGAAGCACTGCATTTCAAAGTTCCTGGGCTCTAGAATTCATTAACTTCTTTTGTTTCTCTTCTGCAGCCGAGGGTGCAAACTCAATATTAGATCGTCATAATCTATTTTTCCATTTTTACAAAACTTGTTTAGTTTCATTCAAATCTCCAATGTYCTTTCTGTGGTTTTCTGTAGTCTTCATCTCTTTGAAATCCCCTAACTGACAGCATTTGCTCTGACACATCACACACCACGGAAAATTACAGGCTGGTTGTAGCTGATTGTGTCAGCATGTATTTGTGAAGACCATAAAGCACAGAAATGAGACATATTGCACTCCCTAATATAGGAGGTAATTTGTTTTTTGGACTGCCTGGTATTTGTGACATTCATTAGTGAGAAATGCAATAGGAAATAGAATTACACAAATGGGAGCTTCTTGTTCTATATGCTATCTGGGAGGTGCACATGATGTACTGCACGGCTGTGCTCCCCAGCCTCCTGTGTGTAGTGCTGAGATGTGCTTCTGGCTTTTGTGTCCCACATCTGGATGAGAACACAGCCTTCCCCTCCGGAGGGCCTGGGGCTGGGGTCAACCCCACGCACCCCCTGTCCCTGTCTCTTGTGAACTTTGTTTTCAGGATACTTCTGAAGAACAGTTAGGTTCTATGAACTGGGTAGGGAGGTACTTCTCTCTCACAATAAATAATGGTAATCTTTTCCCAATTTACAGAAGAAAATTTGAGTTAGGGAAAAGCTCAGTTAAAAAGAAAAACATGCTCCCACACCCTGTATGTTCTTTTTCCTAATTTTTTTTCTAACTAGGATGGGTCATTTGCTAGAGTGGGTGGAAAGAAAGAAAATCATAAGCATCAGTTGTCAAAGTTCATTGTTCTGTGCTTAGCACGTCAGCCTCTGCCTCTYTCTCTCTCTCTCTCTCTCTCTCTCTCTCTCTCTCTCTCTCTCTCTCTCCTTGCCACATAATTAAGAGTAAAGGCCCTGGAACTGGACATTGTAGATTTAAATCCTGGCTTTATTACTCACTAACTGTAGACTCTGGGCAAGTTGGCCAGCCAGTCTGTGCCTCAGTTTCCTCACATGCAAAATGGGGAATAATCAYGCTACCTGTTTCAGAAGATTGTGTGAGGAGTGAGATCATAACACCAAGAAGGTAGTTAGTACCCAGAACAGAGCTGGTACTCAGCAAGCCCTCTATAATGACATGTTAGCATTACCAGATTGGCAGAAAGAGACTGGGTTTTAGAAAAGGAAAACCCAGTTCCCACCAGGACTATGCCATTTGTTGTGTGCTCCGTGGCCTTGGACAAATCATTTATATTAATTTTATTTGGGGTGGGGAGTTACTGGGGATTGAACTCGGGAGCACTTGACCACTGAGCCACATCCCCAGCCCTATTTTGTATTTTATTTAGAGACAGGGCCTCACTGAATTGCTCAGAGTCTTGCTAAAGTTGCTGAGGCTGGCTTTGAACTTATGATCTTCCTGCCTCAGCCTCCTGAGCCACTGGGATTGCAGGCATGAACCACCATGCCCGGCTCATTTATATTAATTTTGTACATGAGGAAGCCAAAGCCCTTAGTGTTTCTAGGATTATTTGGAAGATAAACCATAGAGAAGATAACATATCTAGGACAGGGCTAGCTTTGAGTAGAAACTYATTAAATGAAGTCAAGTACACTTTCATAAATAATTAAAGACTTAAAATACTTAATGTTAACATTAATGTTGAGGTGAGTGACCTGCCTGGGCATTGGCATCACATATTCCTGCTAATAAATTTTTCCAAGTTGATAGAATAGAATCTATAGCCCTTCGATTCCCTAAGCTCCTTAAACAGCTGTAAGGGCAGAAATATGCCATGAAACACAGAAGCCTATAAAATCCTGGGCTCTGCCTATAGAGASGACACAATTGCAGCTGAGACTCTAGCTATTTTCCTAGGAGGTTGCAAAAAGAAATAGAGCTATTTTGATGTATTATCTGAAATTAATCCAAATTCTTTGAAATTTTATTTGGYACTTATAGTAAAACTCTAATAACTCTCAAGAAAGTTTGCCCAGATAATATTAAGAACACTAGACAAGGAACCAGCTCTCCTGTTGAGTCCCTCTGGGTCAGCAAGAATCAGGATGACTTGGAGCTGTCACTTTTGCTCTCTGGGCTTCAGTATCTTCGCTTGTAAGATGAAGCAGCAAGTCACTTAGCTTCCTAGTTCTAAAAATTTATTATTTTAATTCAAAGGTCTGGAATTGACTACATGAAAAGGAATCTACAGGGGGCATAATTGAAAGCACATATCTGTTTCTTAAACTTCTGCACCATTTGATGCCCATAGATTCGTTAAGTAGTTTCAGGGTCAGWGTCCTGTCCATATGGAAGCATGCCCATCAGCAGACCAAGATGTTTATGGCTGAGCCAGAAAGAAAGGTGGATGGAAATAAAACTCTTACCTTTTAACTTCTTTGGCATCACTTGCGATGAAAAATCCTAAAGTACCTTCTTGGATCTTAAGGTGGTTTCCAGGATTAATTAATATACTGCTCAGTGAAAAAAAAAAAAAGAAGACACATATGTGAGGTCACATTCTGAGTAAAACTTTGAAGGCAACACCATACTGTTGTTTTTATAGGGGCCCCACTAGTCTAATGCTTTCTCCAAAGGTTTATCTCTAGACCTTGATGTTCACTGGCCCACACATTTAATTGGGGAACGTCATCATTAAACTCTACTGGTTAAATATTGGRTTGGCATACTCCAAGTCGAGGAAATCAAAGCAAGTCTTTGCTTTAGGGCTAGGTTTGCACRATGAGGCAATCTAGCTGCCACCATGGGCCTTGGACGTGAAGTAAAGTTCCTCACAATACTCCCTTTTGAAACTCTATTGATGTTCAGCATTGAAACATCAGTGTTCTAATGAAGTTCTTGCCACATTAATTTTCCATTAGATGATAGAGCATTAATGGGACCCCTATATGCATATAGAAACATACACACAAACATACCATATATTACTTTGAGGAATGGTACAAGCTACCCATAATCAATACAGAAGCAAACTGAATGTCTTCATATCATTGATGAGGACATGGAAGTAGACTCCATGTAAATCCTAGGTAGGAAGAATTTGTTCTAGACAGACAATGTAAAAGAAAAATGCCGCAGTTGGATATAGGTAATGATTCCAGTCTGCTATTTATAAAAATGTAAGGGGTATTTGAATAAGATGTATGGYTAGCATATCATTAGGGGCAAACTGTAGTTAGAAAACAAATGAAAATTACCCCTAAAGGGAAGTAGGAAGCTAAATATTCACTGTCCTATTTCAAATTGGTATAAATAGACTAGCTGACCAAGTTGTGTTTGGACTGACAGGAGAGATAAATGTATCCTAATCTAATAAATGGGCAAAACAAACAAGTTTAATTTTCTGCAGATCAAAAGTAGAATATGAGAATGTTTTACCAGAGACGGAGAGGAGGCTTTGGGCTTAATAGGTACTGAATTGGTGATTCTAACTGAAGCAATAGACAACAAAAGTATTCTTAGATCTGAAAAGCTGGTGATTAAGGTAAAAGATATTTGGAATCGGTCTAAAGGAAGTGCTCACATGCCCAAAACAACCAAGATGGAGGGATGTAATTAACATGTAATCTTTTTCTGCTGGTAAAACCATTCCAGAAAAGTGTCATGGCCAAGAGTGATCTGTCTGCAGTAGTACAGGAAGGGCCTGGGTGAACTTTTGTTCTGTTGGAAGTGTTATGAACAAATCATTACTGCACAAATAATTGTGGTTAGAACATCCACCATTACCTATAACAAGACCTGACAGGAGGAAATCAGGCCTGTGTCATCACTGTTATTAACACTAAATAGTAGCAAGAGTCTATGAAGATTTGACTGTTCTACCCCAGAACCACAGACAACAATGAAATTCCTTCCAAATCAGAAAGCAGTAGTCCACACTAATAGCACAGCTTATAACAGGCAATAGCCTTACGCAGGCACCTCCTAATTACCCCTCTGCCAACTCACACACTGGTATCACAGGCCCCTGATACAGCATGATTATGAGGGGAAAGGGTCAGAGCTTATACAGTTTAGGTGGATTTCTTATCCAAAGTCAATTAAATACATGTTAGAAAGGTGGAAATATGAATTCTGCTCATTTTCTTAACTCCTTTTCTTTCAAGGTAGCACTTCCGTCTGACTTTGCAATCAGAAACTGGGTCCAAATCTGAGCTCTGTCACTGAGTTGCTGCCTGAGTTTGGGCAAGTTACTAAACCCTAGTACTCAACTTTCACCCCTACAAGAGGAGGTTCATGATAACAACAGTCTTCCTTCAGAAAATGGAGTGAGGTAATGTATAAAGAGCTCAATGCATGATGGGTATTGTTAMTTTTGATTTTACTTTTAGTATTTTATTCTTGTAAAAAACAAAAAACATCCAAGTATATTTCATTGTCAATAGTTATCAGAGTTTCTTTAAATGGCCCCATGGGATAAAATACAGGGCTTCTTATCAAAATACCCTGTCCGTAATGAGACAAAGTTACAGGGTTGTACAATGCAGGTTGATGCACCAGGCATCCATTAAAAACCCCATGCACTTCTGGCGCCTAAAAAAGCTAGTTCCTTAAAGATTGAAAAGTCTATATTTCTAACATAAGAATGGAAGAAAAGCTTCTGAGTAGGGAAAAAAATCCTCACATGATTTGAGCAATGGAATTGAAAATGTGACATACATCATCTTGGTGACACATGTGCACAAAACAAGCCTCCCATAGACCCCTGCTTCCTTGCCTAACATTGTGGGCCTCATTAATTGCACTCCAGTGAGTGAACCCGCCATGTCATTGTGAAATATGATGATAGCAAGGTTCCTATCAATGAGAAGTTTCTTTTCATTTCCTTTCTTCTTTATCTACAGTGAACAAGAATTGGCCCTTAGTAAAAATTTGGGATTGGCATTCTAGAGAGTATCGATTAAGATCATTCATTACAAACTTCAAGCTTCTTTTGGTCATGTTGTTGTGCCAGAAAGGAAAGATTTTGGCACTGACATAGGGTACACTGTCATTCACCATTAATTGTAATTGTTTTTTTTTTTGGTACATATTAATTATATAGAAGAGAGGGTTTCATTTTGGCATATCATACATGTACCTTACATAACTTTCCAATGGTGGGTGAGCACTCAGGTACACAAGTCAGGCCCCATCCATTTGGATCCCTGGCTTTGGGCATGTGGACACAGCTAAGCCTCATTTTCCTCGTCAGTAAAATGGGGATAAATAATCACTAGTTTCCAGTGTCTTTAAATTAAAGTATGTACTATTCTCTGAGAGATATAGTAGGTCTTTTATCTATGCTTTCCATTAATTATGAGCAAGGTGGTTGGAAAATGAGAGTAAATAAACTCTCATAGGACCACAACTCTAACCTCCACTTTGTCCTTAATACTAAAAACCCACCCAAAAATTAACCCTTTTCCTTACTGCAGCACCTGAAATACTTTATCTCTGCACAAATCTGGAGATGAGCTCATTCAGAATGGCTTTTAGCAACACATGAATAGTGCCTGTCCCTTAAATCTTATGGCTAATGCACATGGAACAGAGAGCATTTCCAGGGGCCTCACGGACTGTGCAATCCCAATATCCCTTCCTGTGGGTGGGGTGGGAGAATTTAGAGAGTCCTTATGGGAGGTGTGAAGCAGCACCATTTGCAGATACCAAGGCAGAGCTAAGATAGCCTATTGGGTGGGACTTGAAAGAATAACCCCACCTCTTAAGAAAATGAAAGAAAGAAACTGAGATGCATAAAGATACTAGCTGTGCTGGATTCAACTTTTATATTTCAGGGTCTGGGGAAGAAGCACATGCCCTTGTTTCCAGGGGCCCACAACATTTCCCTATGCAACAGGACTGAATTCCAAAGACTCTTTCAGGAAATACCTTACTGTTTTTGATAGATCAGATTTTAAATCTTCTATCCACATTCCAAATCTAGAAAGTTTAAATAAAGTGTTAATCCTCCTCGTCTGGAAACTATAAAAACATAAGGATTTTAGACAAGTAACTGTTCTTACTTTTTCCAGGAAAATGCTTACTACCCCTAGAATTTTTTATTGACCTCCTAATGGGAATATGTAAAATTTTTCCAAAAATCTCTTTAGGAAACTATCCAATGTTAACTCATTTTGTTCTTATGACTGCCAAAAGTCCCTTTTCCTATGTGCCACTTTAAATCAGTTCTCTGGCTCCAACTTTATCTAATTCACTAGCTTATCAGAGATAAACTTCAAGATGTGTCATGTGAAGTATCCAGAAAAATCTCTAAGAAAAGAAGACCATATATCCATTAGCAGAATTCCAATAAGGACATCTTGGCAGGGGTAGACATTCCCTCATTTCAAGGAACATATAAATTACCCTCTTTTCTATTAACTTGTTGGTTTCAATTGAAAGCACCCTATGACAGCTGGTAGCACAGGGCTGGTGTGGCCTCAAATTAGTTCCATATCTAGATTTATTCTTTGTCCACCCATCAGTATGTAGAATAAATTCATATTTTCTGTAAAGAACCCATCATCGAGTAGAGGGGTGCAAAATATAATCATGTTCTATTTACTTCCAAATTTCTCTCAGTAGCATGCAACAGGACTTCTCTTGTTGAATGAATGAAACTTTTAAATCATTGGTCTCAGTTCTGAGTTTTTCTTTCCTTCTCAAATAAGATGAAAGGTAGTTCCCTCTGTTCTTTCCAAACCATTAGGCTGACCCCAGGAATGACCACATCTTCTGGCAGATTGGTTACCAAGCTCATAATCTCTGCGCATTAAGTATAAATATGAAAATATGAAAGACACAGTGAGTCACTTGGGGAGTTGGAGCAGTTGATTTCAAWATTGAAAGTAGAACTCACTCCGAATGAAATTTATGTTCCTAAACATAAGACTCATCTTTGTGGAATGGGGCAGTAGGGATCAGGCCAACAGGGAATCACCTGTATTGGGATTMTTTGAAAGGTATTCACCTGCACTTCTTTTATTGGGCAATTTATTGGGCATTTCTTGGTGAACACTGCTCAGGTTGGAGGACCAGGGCTTGGTGGGGGAGCAATGATTTTTTTCCCTTTTGTCCAACATTTACAAATAACAATGGAAATACTTAGTAATCCATGATCTCTTCTTCAATTGTTATAAACATAACCTATTTACTGTTTGGGGATATGACCAATGATTGGCAATTCATGTGAAACAGATCTTGTTTTAAAGAAAACTTTTTATCCACTATGGACAAATATGATAGGTATGTATTTCCCTCCTTCCCCTCCATTTCTGGTAGGTGTCATGTACCATTCCCCAAGCAATTAAGAAAATATCATGGCTTATATGAGAATACAGTTTATACTCAATCATATGGTAATTATAATTGTGTCCAACAAACTAATGGGACTTCATTAACTGTAGCAAGCAAATAAGAACCAACTCGGACTTCAGCTCATGCTATGCCCAGATATCTCACACCACTGGGATGGGCCTGTCTGAACACACACATTAATATACAATTGCTCTCAGTTGGGATTTGTTTGAACAAAATGTACCCCCCCTAAGAGCCCAACTGCACTGCAATTTGTGGGCTGTGTTAGGGCCAGCTCAGAGAAACCCCAAGTCTCAAACCATATCACCTTTTTGGAACTTTTCATCTCTTCTGGGCTTTCAATATGTGCTGCTGGAGTCCCACACAACTACACACACACACACACACACACACACACACACACACACTTTACTTGAGGATATGTGTAGGAAGCACAGTTGTGTATCCCATGCTTTAATATATTAAGCCCAGTTCACTTCCATAGAGACAACGTAATACAGGTTGCTCCCAGTTGATCAGACTCAAAGGACCAAAACCTTGGTCCCTGGGGGATATTGGCAAGGATTTGTTTAGCCCAAATCCACCTCAATAATTTTAGAAATAGAATATTAAAATATATTTTGCACATGTGAAAATATTAGTCACATGGGGATGGAGAGGAGAGAGCTGATCTGAGAAGGACAATGCAAGCTATTTGGTTCTGGGAGCAAGCCATGTCACTTTAGGACAAGTCATGCCTACATCACATCATGCCTTCACCACAAGATAAAAAGACTCAAAGGCCAAAAGCCAACAGCAGAGGTGCAACCACTGTGGACCTTTGAAGATGCAAAGTGTTGCAGTAACTTCTTGCAGTTGGATCATATCAATAATACCAAACTGACAGGAAGCCACCTCTATTATACATCTGCTCCAAAATCACAGGAGAGCTGACTGTGGAAAGAGTTACAAACACACACAAACACACACACACACACACACACACACGAGTACAAACACAAACACATGACAGTGATCACAACTACGGAGGAGAAAAACAACTCTTGGAAAGATGAACAAGTAGGCCTTGCAACGATCTGTTTTCAACAATACTCTCTTAGAGAACACATTATTGAAAAACTATGTTGAAAATTTTAACCAAAAGTAAAAAAAAAAAAATGCCATTGATGATGATTTAGTCATGCTTCATGCAACATAAAACAGCAGCAAAACAGGATGAAGTCACACAGTGGAAGAAGTTGAGCTACTTCTTATTAAGAAATATTGAGTTTGTCCCAGTAAACAGCACTCCTTCAGTAAATCAGGTGTGATACTTGGAATTTAATAGCAGCGTTCTTCATCTTTACTGAGCACTGCCCAACATATTAAATTCTTAAAATGAGATCACCAAAATAAGGATTGGGAAAAAATAAAATCAAAAGGGTTTGGTGTCTGTTTTGTGGTGAAAAGACGGAAACCGTGCTCTACAAATTGGAAACTCAACACAGGAAGGAGGAGGTCACAGGGAACGTGGATGTGGGATGTGGACAAAATGGCACCAGCATCTGGTGGACACCAAGACACATTAGGACAATACAAAAACAGACACAAAGGGCTGGAGAGAAGCATCCTCCTTTTCAACTTTACTAGTATTTGTTCCCATCATTGGTGCCCTGATTGAAAATAGGATTATGCCTTTTCTTGTTTTAAGTTTCCTGCAAAGAAGTTAGTGCGTCATCCAAAAGAATCAACAAACCAAACAAGGACAGCAACAGGCTACTTTCAGTTTTCATGTACTCTATTTGGAGAGGGGTGTGTGTGTGTATATATATATATATATATATATATATATATATATATATTTAACATATATATACACTAGACAAGGGAATGAGATTATATATATGTACATCTATATATATAATCTCTCTCTTCTTGAATTCTTGGCAAATGGTTAGTCCTGTGGTTAGGAGTGAAGACAGAGGGTGGAGGTTGGAAGGAAAGTTAACGAAGAGTGCATACCGCTTTCGGCTTCTGCAAAAACGACAAGAAAAGAATTTAAAATCAAACAATTTGATAATAAATTGACTGACACCAGAAGGAAAGAAGGAATAAAACCTTTGTTTCAAATCACTTGAAGGACGCATGTGAAAACAAGGTTTTTCAGCAAAGCATGAAAACAGTATCATGGGGTGAAACCAATAACAAAGGAGGCTGTTAAACACAGGTTGAAGGCCAGAGGGTGGGGGGAGAAGGAGGCTTCTCCGCACCTGAACACCTGGTTAGTTACAAAATGTGAGAGGGAAAGAAATGGGGGACTTTTTACATGAAGAAAAAAATAAAATTGTTTTCTCAGGGAGCATCCAAAAATGCTTATTTTAAACATGGTCATTATGTTGGATGAGTCCTGGGTTATCTCAGGGGCGTGATCCACATTCCCTCAGACACACCTTTTCCCACAAGAACCAAAGTTCTTCCACACTGAGACCAAGCCACATTTGAGGATCAGAGCTGGCAACCATACACAGAAAGCCAAAACAAAGCCAAACAAGTTCTTTTCACCTATTTTTTTTAAAATCTGAAAACACATAGATATATATGTATATATAAATATGGCTTTGTTGAAAACATATCAGATTTATGAATCAATTAGAGGGCCCATCAAAGAAGAGATTTTGTTCTCAGGGAGATCACTGAGTTCATTTTGTAGAATGATAACAGCGAATTCACACTGAACCATTAATTGCCTATCCCTCTCTTTCCTTGTGACCAGGTAGGAGATTGGTMAAGGTTTACCAAGCAGTCTCCTGCCATGGAGTTATTCCAGAATGGTAGGAAAAACACGATTTGCATCATCATGACACCTTTTTTTTTTTTTTGGTGGGGGGGTGGAGAAGAGAAATGCACAAAAGTGATAAAGAGAGAACACAGAGTTACACAAAGATTTACTGATTTGGCAATGTGAAAAATATAATTTGCAAAAACCCAGGATACACAAGCCCCACCCCCCAACAGGTACAGGTGAGGACTGGCAAAACCATGGGCAAACAATCACCCTGGAAAATTCCACTTTATCTGTTGAACAGTGAATAGCCAGGACCCTCTTAGCTTTTTCTCATTATTTTTCACTTTGCCAACATGGAAAAGGAAAATGTATACATATATACATATCTGTTAATTGCTAGAGCCGTATTCTACATGTGGCCACCAAATCTACCACTTCATCTTTCTCTGGCAGATTTGGATTTTCAAAGTAGTTCAGCATTTGATCAGATTGACTTTGCATGCAATCTGATCTGGTAGTTAAGGTAAGAGAAAACATTGGATTGGACTTGATTACAATCCAGTGTTTTGTGGGTTCTTTATTATTTATTTATTTATTTATTTGGGGTCATAGACACAGACTGTACATTTGGAAGTCTGGCTCTATTGGGGCATTCTTCCAGATAATGAAAACTCCTTAAATGATGATAGAGGAACCTTCTAGTCTGCTCAGTTTTGAAGGCATGTGCCAGCAGGTGTTTGCATTCTACCCTTGTGCTGCAGGAACAAATGATTTACCATAGGAGGAACAGACTCTGGATATGTCATTTCAGAGAACAAAAGCCAGAGCCTCTCTCAACCAGCTCTCTTTCTTCCAGAACTATTGATAAGAAGTGGGGAGCAAAAATCATCTCTTTATATTTGATATGCAATGCATTCAATACCCCATCAAAAAAATTCCATGTTAACATGATGACACCCTCTTCCAGCCRAGATCCCATGTATTGACTGGTGTGTTATCTATTTCAACCAGACCCTGTCCCTCATCAGTCTGATTTGCACATAATTAAGTGCAAAATAAATAAATAAAGAGAGCTCCTGCCCCAGCTCTGCTCTCCTGGCTAATTTACATGAAGCTGATATTCTGCCACCTGGATTTCAGCTGCAATGGGAGAGGCACATATGGTACACAATAGGCTGCTTGTAATTTGGCTATCAAGAGGGCTGGTGTCTCCCATCATGGCTCTACCCCAGGCCTGCTGTAAAGGAGGTCTGAGTCCACCTGCTTCTTTCTCACAGAGGTAAACAAGGGTTTCAAGAAATGGTCTTGTTCCTTGTTTTATGCTTAGAGGGCAAAATGCCCATATTGGCGTGATCAGGTGAAGATACTCGAATGGCTCATCCCTCTCATCTGAGGAAATCCTCTCTGGATACCCAGTTGAACTTGGGATGCTAGGTTGGTCTGAGATAGGAGCTGCAGTGTCCAGTTGAGCATGCTTTAAGTGTACCCCTAGGGTCAGAGAGGTGTTGCATCAGTTTCAAAGCAAATAAACAACATATAAGAAAGAGGGAGTGGACTAAAAGTTCTCAGAATGAACACTCACACATTTGGATGTCAACGGGTTGCTGGGAGGTAGCCAACTTACCGGCTCTCTCGGTTGGCGGACTTGTACTCAATGGCTATCATTAGGAGCTTGAGCTTCACAAAACACAGCCTGCAACGAGATAGAGAAGCCTCGCAGTCAGTGCTCCTGGATGAGCTGAGACACACAAGGAACACTGTTACGACCTTTCAGTCTACAGATACAGTCTTTATCCAAGGGGATCCTCACTCCTCTGTGCYAGTGCCAGAGAGAGGGTGGAAGCTACAGCCCCCCTCTTCCCCATTAAACCTGATTTCTTGCGTGTGATAAGGTGCTGGATGTTCAAAGTGCAAATTGCACCCAGGTCTGGATGTCTAGACAGACCCCAAGCAGGGATTCCTGCCTGGGGATTTACACAGGGCCAGATTCATTAGTTACTCAGTCGGGTAGTAAAATGTTAACTACAGGGGGAGGGAGAGATTTGGAGCAGCTGGACCTGTTATTTGGATTCCACTTCGGTCTTTGGTACAAATGGTTTATATTGTTGTTCTGAGCAGACCCCTGTGTGCTTGGAATGATGGTAATAATACTTTGCTTCCATGTAAGTGCCCAGCACATGACTATGGCTTTGTCACTACTGGCTCCATCCAAGCTGTCTCACCTCATCTGCCCGGTGTTTTGTGGCTGGCTCCTTCCAGGCTCACTGCCTTCACTGCTGCCTCCTCCCACCRCCCAAATGCCTTCTCTTCTGCTCCTGCCCCTCCTCCCAGGCCACACCACATCTAATCTTCCAAGCCATAGGTGWTCTCCAGGTAACACTACCCCTGATTTTATTCTCAGGACTCTTCCATCACCTCATCTGTAACCACAGCATTTGGCCTAGAGTCTATTTTATACCAGTGCTGGTTGCTTATTGTTTCATGTGTCTGAATTTCCCTCCTCCACCAGAGCAACTTCTTGAAAAGTTTTTGACTTGTTGAGAATTCTCCATAGTGCAGGGAGAATGTACCCACTGCTATGAAGAACTCATTAAAAAAAAAATGATTTCCACTTACTAAGTTTTAATTCTAAGAAAATAATAAGAGGTGCCATAAAATATTTATACATAAAGATGTTCAGGGCAGTGTTATTTATGTAATGTAGAAAAATCCAAAGCAACTTAAGTGTCCAATAATAAGGTAATGTTTACATGGTGCAAGGTTGGTATTAGGCAGCATTCAAAATGACTTTTTGCAGACTATTTCAAAATATAAAATCAACAAATATTATTATAAAACAAGATGCAAACTTGTAAATAATATGCTAGAATTACATGCAAAATATATTTACATACTCAGAAATAAAAACTCACAAACAAAAAAAATGAATTGCATATATATTACAAATTTTTGCAACGAGCGTTATCACTTTATGTATTTAAGGACTATTTGGATAATGAAACCTTGGTTGACTGATAGATTTAAAAAAAGAGTTGACAGTTATTTAGTTCCAGAATTATATGAGGGATAAGGTGCTGGGTCAAGGGGCAGGGCCTTCCTTAACAGCCCCTTTGATTCCTCACAATATCCCTGAGAGGGAATTTTTACCCCACTTCTTCAGACTTCTATTGGTATCTATTTTACAGGTGGTTAAACTAAGGCTCAGAAAACCCATGCAACTTGCCCAGTGCCTATGCATTAGGTGTCTAGCTAATACCCAGCAGGATATACATTTTCATCCCCAATGAAGCTGATTTTGCGTTGGCAGAGATGTGCAATAAGCAAATATACAAGTGAACAAATAATAAGCTTTCAGAAAATGACATGCTATGCAGAAAACAACCTAAGGGAATGAAGAGTGAATGACAAAGGGTGTGTCACCTGTGACAGACCCGGAGGACCATTCTGAGGATATACAGAACAATGGAGCSTGGGGAGCAGGCAATGGAATGATAAGGGGAAAAAAAATTCTGTGGAATAGAAATGGCACGTGCAAAGGCCTTGAGGCAGAAAAGAACTATGGGTGTTTAAGAAACAGCAATAAAGCCATAGAGGATGAAACTGAGTGAGCAAGATCAGACGATAGGCCAGAGGGCAAGGTAGGAGCAAGGTCACGAGAACTCTGCCACAGCAAGGAGTCTGCAGCTTATTCCAAGGAATGGGTGTCCTTTAGTTGGTTTTAAATAGAGAAGTGACATAATCAGCCTGGACAGTTCTGGAAAAGGCCCTAAGTTCTCCAAGAGGAATGAGACCAATTGCTCATTCCTATATGTGAGGTCCTGGTCTCACAGACTTGCCTTCAAGAGATAGATTTCAGAGACCCACTTCCATTCAGGTGTATGTGGGCTCTCCGGTGATTTGCAGGTCTTCTGATTSCTGCCAGCAGACTCTAATGACCTGGGCTTTGTGATGATTATGCAGCTTGCTGAAACACCAGCACACATGTCCAAGTGCAGCAGGGAAAATGCCCTTTTTAATTTATGTCCCATAGAGCTCCACTTACATGCACCCTTTATGGGGTTTGTTACTTTTAGAGCTTAAGTTAGTTTTAAAAATCAGGTACTTTATGCAATGTTTATCAGACCAAATTGCAAGATTAAGAAACCACTATCTAATGTAAATAGTCATTAAATACCAAAAAGAAAAAAAATTCAAGGAGAAATCTGGTCTTCACTTAGCATGGATTATGCAAAGGTTAATTTGTTGTTATCCTATAAGCCACGACCATTCCAATTTCGGCCTCTGGTAGTTCATGGGATCAAAGATCTTAATCGCTTAGCTTTTGTGAAACTAAGCCTACTGGTGAGAAAAAAAGAATTGTTCACAGTAATGGTGAGTTATTTATTCCAAGCTACTATAATGCCATTTAGTAACTGGATATAAAAGGAAAGGAGATTCCTAATGCCAGAAAGTCAACACAATCTATGCAACTTCATGCACGTTTGTTAACCTTATAAAGGATGGACAGCAGATCTCTAAGCCCTCTTTCAAATCCAAAATCTAACATTCTTTTTTTCTCTCTCTCTCTCTCTCTCTCTTTTTTTTTTTTTTTTCCAGTACCAGGGATTGAACTATTGAGCCACATTCTAAGCTCTTTTTTAATTTTTTTTATTTTGAGACAGGGTCTTGCTAAGTACTCAGGGCCTTGCCATGTTTCTGAGGCTGGCCTCAAACTTGCAATCCTCCTGCCTCAGCCTCTTGAGTTGCTGGGATCACTGTCATGCCCGACAAAACTTCCCCACTTTCTCAGATAACTCTACACTCCCTGATAGAAACCTCCTTTTAAGAAGCCCTTTAGCCCAAAACAAGCTGTTGCTCACTGGCCAAAGGAGAAATGACAGAGGAGAGGCACCGAGTGGTCTAAACCAAGGGAATATATGCAAACAGTGTCTCACCACCCTTTCAAAGTGGCTGATCCTGACCTTCTTATGTGGAAAATAAGCTGAAGTCCAAAGTGGACAAAGCAACTAGCAACTGGCTGAAAGTCAAATGGCTTTTACACTAAAAAGACAAAAGTGAGTCTGGGAATATAACTTAGCAGTGGAATACCTGGCTAGCATGCATGAGGTCCTGGATTCCTCAAGAATGTGTAGGAAGCCAAAAGTGGAAATCAAGTCTCAATACAGTGTGCTACGCAGATGCTTCTTTTAGGAATGGAGAAAGGAAAGCGGTGGTCACAGCCCAACGTGCAGACACATTGCTTGGTTGTTAACATTGTTTTTTAAAAGCTGGAAACAGATACCAACAGGTGATTTCACATTAAAGGAAGAATGGCTTTTCTGCTTTCCTTGCAAAATCAGGTAAAGCCACACTGAAATCACCATCCATATGGCTAAAAAGGACTGGTACTATGAAGAACTCCTTCAGCCCTCTCTGCAGGGGACATGTTCTCCACTGTGCCACAGTCCCCACTGCTCCCTATGGTCTCAGACCSCCTCACTCTTCATGTTTTTTTGCCAACTTTCTGTCCCCTATGGGCATCTAAGTTTTTAACTCCTGCTCTAATGGGTATTGTCAGGAACTTGGCAAAATACATTGAATAATAAACCATGATTCAGATTGAAAGCAGAACTATGGATCCACCATGAGTATTCAAACCACAGTTTTTGGTCACAGGGAGGTGGCCAGTGTCAGGGTCCTGGGTTTAAGGATATAGCCGAGATCCAGGCTCTGGTGGGGGTGTCCAGTGGGGAAGAGGGGATGGAGGCAAGGAAAAAGGGGAGCGGATAAGGTTGATCTCTTGCTTATCTCTCTCTCTCTCCACTCTAGGTTGTGCATCGCTAGTACAGGATGCACGCTCTGCTTCCTGGCATCTTGAGATGTGCAAAGAGCAAACTTACAATAAATGAATGGGCTACAGAATATCATGAGTTACTGAAGTGATGGACAAGGGACAGAGTAGAAAACTAGGAAAGTGTAGGCAGAATAAAGGAGAGGAGTACTGGGTCCTGAAACAAGTTGCTTCTCAGCTTGTCTTGTTTGGTCCAGGCAGGCAGAATGGAAAAGAAGRATGTTGAAGGAAATAATAGCAGTGATAGGTTCTGGGAATCTAATCTTGACCTTGGATCTGTTGTGCCAAGATGCAAGTCTGAGTCTAAGATCCACATAGCRATTTATCCTTGGGATCTTCTTACAAGGGGTACCTAGTTAAGAATATGCCTTCAGACCACCCCAAATGAAGCCCTGTGGTTATATATTTACTTGCTTCATTCAACACCATTTGGGCGGTGATGTAGAGGAGAACAGGCATTAGCCATCCAGTCCTCACAGCCATTCTGATTTTACCCATACTATTTGTGTTTCAAAGTACAGAGGACCAGTTTGGGATCAGGAAGCAGAATTAAAAAGAGGTAAGATGCAAGGAAAAAAAAAAACAACAGGAAGCCTTCACAGCGTGATAAATAGGATAAGACTGGCCATAAGTTAGCAAGAATTTAATTCTTGGTTTCTAAAATAAAATGTCCCGATATGTCCAAAGCAGGAAGTTGTCACTGGCTGCAAAAAATAATTATAGGGGAATAGAAATGACTTATTTTTTTCAAGAAAAAATGCCACTTGTCACAAAAAGGTCTTAAACCAGCAATCTGCAATAAAACTGTTGTAATAACAAGTTAGATTGCTTTCCTGATAATTATTAAGTAGAGGTCTACCAAA